GTCTTTTACCTGTTCATCGACTGGAGGCTGGTACTGCTGCTGCTCTGGCTTTTTCTGGAGCTGGTCTTGGTGATCCTGGTTCTTCTCGAGTTCCATCTGAGCGTGGAACTGCTGCTTCTTTTGGCTCTGGATTTGGTTGTGAACCTGGTTCTTGATGTCCTTCCAGTGCCGCCCCCTGAGGACTGGTTCTAAGTCCAGACAGCGCTGACAGACCTCCTTACCTGGTACAGACTGGACCAGAACATGGACTCCTAATTGCCTCCAGATGGCCTCCTTCTCTGCAGAGGACCACGGCCGCCGTCGGACCTTCCTGGGAGCCACAGGGACTGAAAAACCAACAGAATTGCTGCACGATAAGACTAATCTGCTAAAGTCAAAGTAGTAACATGAATCCAGGTGGACTCACCTGAGACAGATGTTTGCATTCTGGCTTCAGGTGGAATCGCAGAGGTCACTGGTTTGTTAGAGCTCTTTGACAGAACTGTGAACAAAGGTGGGCACAGATAGGTAAACAGCTCCAGCAACTGGTTCTATAAAGTTAGAAGTTCGGGAACTGATCCAAACCTGCGGCGAGGTGTGGACTCACCTTCTTGTCTGAGGTCGTTGTCCAGTCTTATCTGGACAGGTCGTTTCTTTGGTTTAGTTCCTCCATCTGTAGCAGCTGGAAAAGGAGAAAAACTGGGTCAGTAACACAAAGTTTGGGATTCAAACTTCTCTAGCTGAAAATCCAAAACTACAGTCACATCCTGGTTCTTCCTAACCCAAACATTACTGGACGTTACTGAAGATGCTAAACTAAGCAGGAGGGGCTGGACTGTGGTCTCACCTGGATCTGGGTTCTGCAGGCCCAGGTTGTCCCACTCCCGGCCCAGCATGTGGTAGAAGTCGGTGGTCTTGGCGGCAGCCTCCCAGTCTCCGTCCTGCAGGCTCTCTCCGATAGCAATCTCACAGACTGTCTTTAGTGTTGTTTTCACCGCCAGTGGAGGGCGGCTCCACCTGTTTCCCGCTGCCTTCCTGGCCGCGGACAGCGCCAGGCTGAGGCGACCTGGGGCCAGCAGGTCCTGCAGGCTCTGGACGCCGGAGTCAAGGGATTTAGCGGCCAGGAGCAACCTGCCAAGTTCCCGGAGCTTCTGGCTTACGTAGTCGTACCTCCTCTGACCACTATCCTGGTTCCCCATCAGCTTGTTGCCATACTTACAGATCAGCCAATCAGACTTCACCTGGAGGCAGAGAGGAGCCAGTTACCACAGAGAAAGGTCAGAGAGTGTAGATAGTGTTAGGTGCACAGACAGACAGGTGAGCTGACCTCGTAAGACACATTATCTTGGTTCATGCGATGCAGGATTTCACTGCAGCTCTCAGACGCTCCACTGGAGATCGGCAGGAGCCGCGACGCTGCTGCCTGCACTCTGGTCCGTTTCCTGGCTCGGTTCACAGCGGGGTCAGAGGTCGTGTTCTGATCGACACTTGGGTCAGAGGTCATAAGCTGTTTGGTCCCGGTCTCTGCAGTCTCACCAAGGGAATCCTCAGGTATGTCCTCTCTGGTGACATCACAGGGCAACTTACTTGTGGAACCAGAGGTGGCGTTGTTGGCGGGGTCTGCGTTCGCCTCGGCTTTGGACGGGTTGATGGCGAGCTTCTTGCGACACGACACCTGATGCTTCCACAGGTCAGCACGAAGGAAAAATCCAAGACACAATGGGCATGGCAGGTAGTTCCTCGCATCCACATCCTCAGAGGGCTGACGCCATGGCACAATCTCACCAGTGCCCTGCCGGATCACCTGAGGACACACAGGGAGGCGGAGTAAATGTACCTGTAAGGAACAGAAAACCTCACCCGTAACAGACAGGTAAACACAGGTGTTATTGTAGCATCTTTAAGTTAAACTATAAAGCTTGAGGCAACTGTTTATGTGACTTCCTGCTATAAATACATCCATTGATTCATTTTGTTCTGCTTATCTGGGGCCGAGTCTTGGGGGCAAGCCCAGACCTCCCTCTCCCTGGCTACTTCCTCCAGTTGGCCCTGGGAACCACCAAGACATTCCCACCCATAATCTCCCCACTGTGTCCTGGGTCTTCTGATGGGACATGCCCAGAACACCTCACCAGGAGGCCCCATCTCCAAGGGAGAGGAGAGGCACCTTTCAGAGAAAGCTTGTGTTTCACCTTCAAATGTTTTTTGCCTTGTTTGGTATCATTCTCTTCAGCTCAGTCTCACTGAAATCACACAAAAACATAAAATCCTAGTAGCAGTTTCTTGTTAACTGTAAAAACCATAAAATTATTTTCATAACTTGCAAATACAACTTGCACATTTTGAAAACTTATATTTTAAACAACAAAGTTATATACAACTATTTATCTAAAAATGCACCCACTGCATGTGGCAGGCTGTTTTTTGTACAATCACTTAAAAATACTACTGAAAAATACTATAACTAAAACCAGTTAACAATAAGATGCCCCAATAATTATTTGTGTCAGTAAAGAAAATGTGTCTGTCCACCAGCAGACAGAGGAGCCACCACAGGGAAAAACCTGCAGGCCCGACCGCAGCAGGTGGACAGTGGAGACAGTCTTTACACTGCAATCTGCCTTTGTGACATTCATTAGTGCCCTCACTGACACACAACAACAACTGCACAACACGCTAACTATACACTCCACACTAAGCATCACAAATCTTCCACATCTCAAAACCTGTCTCTCGCTCGCTGCCGCCACCCCTGTAGATCCGCCCCTGTAGATCCGCCCCTGTAGATCCGCCCCTGTAGATCCGCCCCTGTATCGGGCTGTAACGTTTAAAGCTTCCACTTGAGGGAGGTAACTCGCATTACTGCTGCTGTAGTAGTGTTGCTTTATTGCATTTCAATCATTTATCCTGCGCCTTTGATAGCTAGCAAAATAATAATAATTTTAAAAAAGAGCAACGTGAACAGTCTCGAAATCTATTGATTGAGCCTCAAAACTCTGACATTGTGAAAAGAGCCAAATCCTTTTACTTTTCAGGTGGATTTGGTCCTTGTCACGACTGCAGTGAGTGTCTCAGACTGAAACAAATATGCAGCGGTGTAAGGAAGCAGAGGCGCAGAAATGCTGCTTTTACACTTTGAGTACACTTTTCTGATGAGAAAATGATGCAGTCAGACAGTTATTCGTGCTGAATGACATACTGTTACAGTTTCCTTCCACTGTCTGATTATGTCCTCAGCTGAAGTCAGCAGCACTCCACCTAAACTACACACAGTGCAGGTGGAGCACTGCTTTCTCCTCCTGAATCACGGTTTGTCCAAACCTCTCCAAACTGCTCCCTCACCTGAGGTTTACCTTCAGCCTGAGCCACGTCTCATTTGGCCTGTACCTGTCGGCTGCCTCTGAGGTACCACGGACTAACAAACCCTGACCCTTCAGCCTGATGGGCCCCTCCCCCTCTGCTGTCCACCACCTGGTTTACTT